AGTAGTAGTAGTAGTAGTAGTAGTAGTAGTAGTAGTAGTAGTAGTAGTGATAGTAGAAGTAGAAGTAGAAGTAGCAGTAGTAGTAGTAGTAGTAGTAGTAGTAGCAGTAGTAGTAGTAGCAGGAGAAGCAGTAGTAGTAGTAGAAGTAGAAGTAGTAGGAGTAGTAGTAGCAGCAGCAGTAGTAGTAGTAGTAGTAGTAGTAGTAGTAGTAGGAGTCGTAGCAGTAGCAGTAGTTGGTAGTTAGTAGTTAGTAGTTAGTAGGTAGTAGTTAGTAGGTACTTGTAGTGTTAGTAGTAGTAGTCGTCGTCGTCGTCGTCGTGGTGGTCGTAGTGGTAGTACTGGCTAGTGTGCCAATAAAATCGTAGCAGTCGGAGCAGCAGCAGCAGTGGCAATGCCAGTAGCAGTGCAGTCGCAGTGGCAGTTGCAGTTGCAGTTGCAGTAGCAGCAGCAGTCGCAGTCGCAGCGGCAACCGCCGTAGCAGTAGGAGGTAGGAGTCGGAGTCGGAGTGGGAGTAGGATTACGAGAGGAGCAGGCGGAGTATCGCAGGCAAAGTTGCAGTAGCAGCAGTTGCTGTGTCACAGTAATAGCACTCCATATCGACGAGCAGGCCATTCCTGATGCCGCACATGAATCGGCAGGAATGTTACTGCATCTGCATTCAGAAAGCTTTTCTTGGTTGCACAGTGTCTCTGTGTACAGACCATCCAAAAGCCTGATGCTCACCAACAGCAGTCCCACGGTCTGAGCCATCAAGGAATAGAAAGCCACCTGGAGCGCCAAAGCATTTCTCCATCATAACGACCTTCAGCCCCGAAATCAGAGGGTGTAAAGGCCATTGTCAAGTGTAGTTCAAGCGAGTCGAAACCTTAACCTCAACTCATATAGCCCTAAGCCTTTTCCCGCAGACCCTTGAGCCAAACCCCACAAGCAGTTAAACAAGCGCCAAAGCCGAGGGCTTCGCTGCGCAATTCAATTTTGAGGAGGCCACCGGCCCGATCCCAAGCCTCCAGCCGGCAGCTTTGGCATGATTAATTGGGTTTGGAGAGTATAGGGTCTAACGTAAGATAGAAGGGGCAAAGACTAAGACTGGGTGGTATACAGGTACAAATAAGGCTGTGCACGTTTAGGGAATCACTTCAGCGTTTAGAATTTCAGGGTTTAACGGTTTAACGGTTTAGGGTTTGTTGCTTTGGTTTCAGATTCAAAAGCAAGGCTGACGTGCGTAGATTTTCTTTCGACGAATCGCGACTTTGGTGTGGGGTTTGGGATTTTTATTTCGTCTATGGGGTTCAGATCTGAGTTTGTTGTATAGGTCTGCGGGTATATTTCTTGTTCATTCGGATTCGACTTTAGGGTTCAGGGTTCGGTGCAGGCATCGGCCCAGGCACCTCACGATATTAGACACTGGTGTAGAAGAGCCTGTAGTTTCTGAGGAAGGGCGACTTTGTTCAGCTTTGTCTTGCATCGTAAAGGTCTGATGAAAGGTGGCTATATGGGATTGTCTGTCAAAGGCCGCCTGCCTCAGGCCAACATATTCGTTTCGCCCTGCATGCTCTGAATCCGAAATTCCCAACCTCACAGCCCCTTAATAAAAACTCGATAGAAGCCTACCCTGCCTATCAAAAGACTCAAAAGTTCCGAAGCCCCCAATCCCGGGGAACTAGGCAGTTTCCTCCAGTGATGTGGCTGTCCGGGGTTTAAGGTTCGGGGTTAGGGTTTAGAAAAGGTTTCAGATCAATGCTGTTGTGAGGAGTGTTTTGGGTTGTAAGATTTTTAGGGTTATCGGTTGAAGGTGTCGGGTTACGGGTTTCGGGTGCAGGGATCCAAAATCCCGGTACCACGAAGCACTGGATTCATTGACCTCTACAAGAACCCTCGAGCTGAAATGCCTGAAGAGAGACGAAGAGCACCGAAGCCTCACAGCCCTGAAAGATCTGGTGGAACGCTGCTGCGGACGGTTTCGAATGTGGAAGAGCTACCGGACGGAACGTCTCATTTTGTTTGTGCGGCTTGTGAGGCTGTAGAGGTCGTTTAGCATTTGGGACTTAGGGGTTTCGGGGGTTCCTGTTAGGCATGTTTCTTGTTTGGCAAGGGCCGGAGTTCAAGTGTTACCTAGGATTGTCAGTAAACTGTGACTTGTGTGAACGGCGACATGGCTTTTACTAGGTCGTGGGCAGGTTTACCGGTTTGCATTGCATGTTCATCTTTCTTCAGGATTCGCCAGGGTTTGTAGGGTCACAGGTCACAGAATTCAGGGCTTTGCTGTCAACGCAAACACTTGGACAGGCCCTGTAGAGAATCCTTATTGAGCCCTCAAGACAGCCCTTATAGAAGCCTTCAGACGCCTTTACAGCATCGTTTGCGCGACAACAACTTTTCGCTTCTGTCGGGCTTAGAACAGTTCATGCGACATGTCAAGGGCACGTACCGGCCATCTCCTTCTGGCTTATGAGACATGTAGTACCAGTGGTTCACACTGACATGCTAAACCCAGAGCATTGGTCTCATTCCGGCTGCACGTCACCTTTTCTGTGTGAGTGCGTTATGTTTACAGCGTAGGGCGAGATGGAAGCAAGCACAGTTGCCTTTCCAGTGTTTCTAGTAGAATAGCATCATTCGGCCTATAGTACGCCTCACTATAGAAGCATCGTAGAGTAATCGTAATATAGAATAGAAGCTTGAATAATTCTCATACTATTCATTAAGTGTTTGTTGCTACTAGTAACTAGTATTCAAAGTATCTCCAAACCATATTCTAATCTTTATGCCCCACATTACCTTACTTGGGGCTTCCGGTAGCTCTAACTTCCCTCTAAAAACACAGTGTGCCTCAACCGGCTCTGGGCTGCTGCCATTACTGCTCACTAAACTCTGCAGCCTAGGCTCATGATGCTCGTTCACGACAGGGACCAGCAGCCGGTCAGCCAGATACATTTCAAGTACAGAGAGACTTCGTCGTCCTCTGCCCAAGGCACCGGTTGTGCTTTTCAGCATACATCCCCGATCCAGGTGTCAGATTAGTGGTCTTGCTTAGGGCCGGGCTTAGGGTTTGGGGGGTGGGGATGTCAGAGTTTCCCTTGATCCGAGGACTTGAAAAGAACAAGTTCAGTGCTCGGATGCGTACTCTGCTTTATAGGTATATATCTATGTACTTGTGTGTTCATCGGTGTAAGATGTGTATGCATTCACACACACACACACACGCACCTGTAACAGGTCACCTGTATACGTAAAGGAAGACGCAGCAGTGCTACACAAGTATCTCCATAGTCTATATTCATACTGAATATATGCACATTCATGTTATGTATGGGCAATGCATACATTCTGCATTCGGTATCTCCACATAGGCAGATGGGTGGATGGATTAGCAGATAGATAGATTGGATAGGGCCCTCAAACTCAAGCAAACTGCAGTCCCCTGCGCCTCCTCAAACCGATGCTTGCACCGTTGATGGCTCGCTACTTCCATGCAGCATTGCTTGGACTCTTTATTCGGAACTAAACACAGTTAAACGCTGTTTACCAGAATGGGACATGTAATAAACTACAAATTGTGTGCTCCTGGCCGATGGTAACTTAGTTGCAGGGAAGGCTATTAGAGGTAGAGGCCACCAAGCCATGCTTGGGCTGTGCAGAACTTTAATCTCGAAGCCGAAATACTTACCAAAAATCTTGTTAGGGTTCCTTATTGTGAATATACAATAATGCAGCCCAAAACCCTAGTCTAATTATTAAGACCCTATATTACGCAAGCCCAAAACGACATCAAGGCCCGAGGCCTGAACCATCTGCGAACTAGGATTGTATTCTATACACCCAGGCGACCCAGGCATGCCTTGTGCCCGGTACCAGGCCACTCTTGAAAGAACAGTTCGGTTTCTAGTTTACCATATCCCACCATATTCTTAATATGTCGAAGTTTTGGTAGCGTCTACTCTGAAATCTTATCTGTTAAATCACCTCCCCGACAGTCCGGTTTAGTAAAGACTTGGCAGGAGACTCCGTGATGCCGGATTTGAAGAGCTTGATCCGTCCAACCGAGCTGTGGTTTCAATCTCCCTTCTCTATGCCTTTTGGGTTCACCGTAGGGCTTAGGGAAGTTTAGTTTAGGGAAGGTTTGCCTTTGAGGTTAGGCTCTTGGGGTTTCGGGAGTTTAGTGTTTCGTTTTTGAGAGTTTAGGATTTGAGACACTTCTTGGCACTCTGTTACGTGGATGGAGTTGGAGGGGGGGAGTATATACCGACATCTCGTTCGCGAGCTTAGTTTACGTTGCCATACTAGTAGCAAGGAAAACAATAGAGTACGAGTATGTGCAAGTACTATATCCCGTAGTTTGGTGACTGAAGACCGCCTGTTGAATAGCAAGGAGAGTTTAAACCCTAAGCCCTAAACCCTAAACTGTTGTCCAACAATGTCAGACAGTGCTTCTGTGCTATGCCGCAAATATCCGGAGACTTGAGATTCTCTGCACTGTCGAATGCGGGGCTCGCGGCTCGTCAACTACCAGTATGTCTGTGGTATATTACAGCTATTTTCCGTACCTAAACTCTCTCTACACACATATAAACCTCAAATAGTTGGAAACCAGATTAAGGACAAACAGTGCTGGGATTCCCTATGAATTACTCGTTAGGATTGCAGCTAGTGGGTTTCTAACTGCTGAGGCCTCTACTACTACTACTACTACTACTACTACTACTACTACTATATAGATAGGTAGATAGATAGATAGATATGGATATATACATATATATATATATATATAGATATACACATACACACATACATATGTGTTTGTCTATATATACTTCTTCGTATCTATATCTGTAGCTGTTTCCATCTGTGTTTCTAGCTCGATCTATACCTCAATTCCTACCTCTGTTTCACATCCACATTTGTCTATGACTATTTCTTCCCAAGACCGGTATCGAGACATCTATCTCCTTCTCTAGCTATGTATTTAGTTGTCATTATCTTTATCGATGTCTGTATCTGTATCTGTATCCATCTCTAGATCTTTAGGGCAAAGGATGCGCCATTAGCGGTTATGTATTGGACAACGCGACACTCTTATGCCCGGGGTTCGACTCTCGCAATGGGTTGTGTGCTGGTCGGATGATTTCCAAGCTTCCATACGCTTCTCAGCATTCGGAACACAAACGTGTTGTATCTCGCAGATCTACCAGCCACAGGAACGGACCGTGACTTCTTTCACAGCGGTGTGGCCACGATGGGGGTCGGAATAATCAGTACATGATATTCTTCCTGGGTTTAAGGCTCCTCATCATCCACTTAGGATAGAAAACCCTAAACCCTAAACCGCTTCTGGATCCTATTGATTGGGGTCCCGGCAGGGTTCCCTACACTGCGTGCTTTTCAGGGCAGGTTGAAGGCCGAAGACCCAAGCCTCAGCGACCAATATAGGGGCCTCAATGATTACCTATACTATTTTGGGGGGTTCCTTATTATAGTTTTTGTATTTTATATATATATATATATATACTGTTGTTTTTTAGGGGGGTCCTTATTATAGTTATAGTATAAGGGGCCCCAAAACCCTATTCTAATTATCAAGGCCCCTACATTCGACCGAGGATTGGGAAACGGTCCGCGCCTCCATCGCCAGACATGCGGCGGGTGATCACTGCCTCATGGAGCTTCCGAGGATCTGGGTGAAGGCCTTCGAACGATGCTGGGCCTGCCACGGTTAGCTATGCGGCTCTTGATATACGAGTCTATATGGGTGTCAGAGGTGTTCGGGTGTGGTGTTTCGATTTTCCATGAATGCATCTGTTTGGTATGTAGGTTTTCTGATACCGATACCCCTTATCGCCTAAACATTGCTACCACTCTGAAGCACAAACCCTTTCAACCCAAAATTTGCATTAAACTTGCAACGGAAAGGTGCAGATGCTCGAAACAGGTAGATGACATAGCTTGTTGGCTCTTACACGTCGGGAGCCTCGGCACCTAAATGGCCTCCCTGCCTGCATGTGAGGACAGTCTGGCTATGTGCAGGCTCGACGTGTTTCCCTGAAACCTTGCAGAGACACTGCAAGGCCTGACCGCGGGAAAGCTCAAGGGCTCCTGGTGTTGTGGTGTAGGGTTCAGTAAGGGTTAATATAGGGGCCTGAATAATTAGCAATATTATTTTGGGTGGTTCCCCATTATGAATGTAGTAAAACGGGCCCCCAAACCCTATTCTAATTATTAGGTCCATACAGTATTTGGTTCAGACAAGGTTCAGGGAGTTTCAGTGTGGGCTGTCCCATGCAGGGCTTAAGCTGTTTTGTTCTTCTGTTTGCGTGTGGCTCGTCGTCCGGAGTTGGGGTGTTTCTTCTGTTCGAGGTGGAAGCTAAACTTTACAACTGTGTTCCGCTTGCAAAGAACACGCCTCTTTCTTCTCAACGGTTCAGGGATGGGGTCTTCCCGGTTCGGCACACGCGAACCCCAAACCGTGTTGAGACTGCAGGGCTTTAGATCTCTTTTCTGGTGCGCAGTTCCAACTACAGCTACGCAGGGTCTGCATATACAGCTTGTTGATTACTTAGGGCTTAGGGTTTAGGATGGTTGAGGGTTTAGTATTTAGGGTTTAGGGTTTTGAGATTTAGGGTTTAGGCGTTAATTTAGGTATGGGTTAAGTGACTTCCGGCCTGGGTGTTACAACCGGTTATTTGTTGGTTAAGGTGGACATTGAAGGAATGGAATTGAGAGTTTTTCCAAGTTGCTGTAGTGCCGTCCCAAGAAGATGGATCTCAATTGTAGTAATGGAGTACTCACACAGTATATTTCCGGATCTATTATATATATATATATATTATATACATATGGTAGTTGATCGAAAGCTCCTTCAGCCATAATTTGTGTGAACGGCCAACTGCATTGCTAAATATGCTTTCGCGAAAGCTCCGCGACGGTACCGCTAAAGTTACTTGTCTTATTGCGAAAGTCGTCTGTTTAGCCTACTTGCCCAACTATCAACTCGTACTTCTACTACTTACAACGACTATTATTGCTGTTAATATTGCTATTACTATTTACAATTACAATTACTTTTGCTATTAGAATGACTATGGCTAGTACTATTACAATACTGTTACTGTTACTAGTGTACTAGTACTGGTAGTATTACTAATGGTGGTACTTGTAACTGTAGGTAACACTGTGGTATAACGTAACATATATAACATATTGTCATATCGTGTGATATGACTTTAAGAATGTGACAAATGCAATCTGATATACTACAACTCGTGCGCTTTAGCGTATGGTATCGTGAAACAACAGAACAAGTCATCGCACACCACGACATAACATAATGCCATCGGGATGTAGTGTATCATCATATGATACAAACTGTGTTTAGTACAATACAACACAATGCAATACAACACTATAACACAATTTAACAGAATAGTTGAACATAAATATGACTCGAAACAATGTACTTTACTGGATGATATTATAATGGAATCGAGTAGAATATATTGAAATGTATAATTTTAAAGGATGCCGGGCTCAAGGCTACAATGAAGTTCCTTGTCGTACTTTTTGACTCTATTCTCCTTGCAAGCTATGTGTCATCAATTTATGATCCGAAGGAGCCAGTAACATGCTCATTTCATGACGATTCTGTTCCAAACCCAACCCGGCCAGGTCAAGGCGGGGCTATCTGTGGCTGCATTTGCGTGATCTGCGGTTCGAAGAGACTTGGCTTGGCGCAGTGACCGTAATCCCAAATCATCTCGAATCCAAATCCCGAACCATGACGCTTCAGAGTGACCCAACCCTAACCCTCCACGTACCTCCTTTTTAGGGCCCTTTAGGGGCTCTAGCACCCTATATAGTAGGTACGTGGGGGGTTAGGGCAAGGCCTTAATTTTTAAGAAGTTGAGGAAAAGCAACGGCGGGCTCCCAGCGAGCTTGCTGACTTGGCTGAGATGTCATCTGGGAGCGCAGGTTAGCCTACAAGGTTTAGGAAGGTAGCGTCATCTGTAGTCGGGCATTGCTTCCCGAGTGTTGGTTTTTTAATTTAGCGGGCCTTGAGCAGCTACTGAAACTCACGTGATGCTGTCGCGTTGCGTGGTGTTCGATACATTCGAGGTTATGAGCAAGCCTCGAGGGAAATGGCTTTAGTGGCATGGGCAACTGGGGTTTCGGGCTCAGGGGCTCATGGTTAACCCAAGAACGGAATTAGAAGCTGCCCAATGGTTCCAATCTCAAGTGCCTGTTTGCTTGGCTCCAAACAAGCCCTGTGCAAGGTTCGCGGCTGTTTCCGGGTCCGGATACCTGTTATATAGTATACACAGGCACGTTCACGAAAGCATACTTTCTGCAAATTCGCAGGCGCTGAACCCTGCCGAAGACTCCCCCCATCTTTCCACATGTTGGAATTTCCGAAACAAACAACTCGGACAGTACAGCCTCCAGATTTTGGCAAAGAGTAGAATCTTCATCACGAGGACATTGACCACTACGTAGGACGCCTCCGTTTCGGAAGCACATGTTTCACTTTCGAGTTTGAGCCGACCGATTCTTGCGGAGTAAAACTGATCGTGTGAAAGCACCATAACCGGAGCCGCCTACATCTAAATAGCCCTAAATAGCCTAAACTCCGACACCTTGCAACCCTAAACGCAAATGCCCGAAATCCGAACCCAGGACAGCTCCCAAATTTTTGAACATGGACTAGAATCCCCAACAAGAGCGTCAATCCTGTAGCAAGAGCCCGCACGAGGGACCCTCACCTAAAGAGCCGAGAACAGTCCCAACACCTTACTCCTCGCTCAAGCCTTGATGCTCATACATCGACCGCCGCCCTTAAATGTGTGTGTCACTGACTGACTAAAAAACAGCTTGTTCTTAAAAAACAGCTTGTTCTTCGAAAGGGCATCCCAACATCTTCTTACCTCGATACTGCCAGCGTTGCTGGAGATAGGCTCTGTGTCTGGGTTTATCAGGAGCCGGTTGTGTCTGAGGGTGCAGTATGTGTTGTCGATTCTAACACCTCGTTTCCCAGTCCTAAACCGTAGATGCCGAACCCTGAGCCCCCCAACCTGAGACACCTTAAATGAGACCCGAAAGCCCCGAGACCCCAAGTGCCCAACGCCCTGAAATATATCCTTGATTCTTCAGGCGTAGTATCGAAGCCTGAAACTTGCGGTGCCCGATAATACTGCAAAGCACCCCCCCAATACCTTAGTCTCATGATTACCTTAAGGGTCCAAAGGATCCAATAACAAGGTACTTGGGTTTAGGGTGTTTGGGAAGTGTATATGTATGGACTGAGGGTTATGTCCCCTCCATCAAATCGTCCGGCAGCGTTCGGCTAAGATAGGCACGGCGAGGGCCTTGACGTGCTGGAGGCCTGGAGCCCTGCTTGGAAGTTTCAGGCATAGGGTTCAGGGGATTGAAGTCAAGGGTTACCTTGTATAGGATTTGGGCCTAGGGTTTATAGCCGTGGAGACAGGAATGCTCGTGTGCTTCAAGCATGTCATGTATGTTCGGGGTCGCCGGGTTTAGGGGTCAAGGTGAGTGCACTTTGAGCATCGTTATGGGAATACCGGCACGGAAAGGCCTTCTTTGTCTGAACACCTTTTTGGCGGCGCAGGCTCCATTAAGCTTCCCGACACCCTCAAGTTTCAATCAAACTTCCCAAAATAAGTACACCACGAGGGAGAGAAACGACACCCTAAACCCTAAACCCGTAAACCCTAGACCCTTAAACCCGAAACCTGAGAACCTAGTAAGTAATAGTATTGTCCGGGGCTCCTGAAGGTCTTCCGCGAGGGTCAACGTTTCGCCAGCTCGATCGGGGCTCTCGACGAGGTCCCAGATACTCCAACGGGGCTTTGGAGTTCAGGGTTTAGGAAGTAGCTCTTACATTGAGGGTTTTGGAGAATTTCTTCAGAAAGGTCTCTTGGGATTGGGGCGCTTTGTGCATAGTATCCCCGAGCTAGTGACTCGGTGTTTAATGAACATCCCTTCGTCGAGTCACTGTAACGATCCCTATAGTAACTCAAGGGACATATGTTGATCAAGCTTTGCAATGGCCCAACCGAGACGGTCTACTTCAAGGATCAAGGGACTTAGCAAGAAGAGTTATAACGTAAGGGAGCTATAGCTGCAGCTGCAAGCACTTATGACCCATCGCGAGATGCATACAAAGTTATTTACAAAGTCCCCTTATCCTACAAGTAGGGGTTTGGGTATGTGCTACTGAGGCTGAGGGGTGTGGATGTGTGTTTGTGCGTGACAAGTTGTTTCTTTTTCATGTTTCCGGTCGGACTGATGGCCTTTTATGGAATCCCGACTGCGTCAGCAGGCTTTAGCTTTCCCTAAACCCTGAACCCTAGACCGGTGCTTCCGGATCAGCAACATCTGCGAAGCCATGGAAGAATAGAATCGTGGCCCTTATTTTACCTTCTACAATCCGATATAGTTCTTTTTCCGCACAGGACCCCCCAACTGCTGTTGAATTTCTGACAAACCCTAAGCCCGAAACCCCAAATCCCTAAACCCACAGCCCCTAAACCCTAAACCCCTGAACCCGTAAACCTTAAACCCGTATGCCCCTAAGCCCTAAACTCCCGAAGCCCAAAGCCTCGCCAAGAAGCCTGAGGCCTTTGTAAAAGCGCCCAGCGAACGCTAAGCTTGAAACTCCCGCAGCCCGCAAAGCCTCACAGCCTCAACATTGAACCCTAAACCTTAAGCCTTAAACCCTAAACCCTAAACCCTAAACCTTAAACCCTAAACCTCAAACCCTAAACCCTCGACCCTAAACCCTGAACCATGAACCCTGAACCCTGAAGCCTTCCTCTAAAGGATCGAGAACATGAGAGTCTTGAACCCTGAACCCTAAACCCTAAACCCTAAACCCTAAACCCTAAACCCTAACCCGTGAGAGTTCTCAGGAGGGCCGTCCCCCAGCCCTGACAGAGCAGAACGCACAGAGGCCCGATTCCCAAAGAGGGTTTAGGGTTGAGGTACTAGGCATTCGCTGCTTTTTGTCTAAGTTCCCCAATACCCAACCTTTAAACTTTTTCGGCTCTTATAATTCAGTACTAATCTGAAAGTTTAACCTTTCATTTCCCTGGCTTATTGGGGAAGTCAGTTGTGAAGTTGAGGCCTCTTTTGTGCAGATTTCGGGGTTTATGGTTTATGGTCGAGATCGTCCCGAAACCCAACTACTGGCCGGGCTCATTCAAGTACATAACCACCGCTGATCTACAAAGTTTCACGGATTTCTCATATGTTGTTGAGCATTTGTTTGAAAAGGGTCGACAATTACATTTATGTTGTTGGGTTGTTAATGTTCATTGAACGGGTTGCAGAGATTGCTGCGTATGCATAGATGTTAGTCTCTCCAGCATAGGCCTTGTTGTGTTTGATTAAAACCATATCAAGCGGAAGAAAGAACGACCAGGCTTCTGCTGTCGAAGTCTCGCGCTGAGAGTGTTCACGGTATGTACGGCCGTTTACCGAAAGCTCAGCACCGCTGAGTTGAAGAACATTGACAAGTTGCTCCGTTTGACATACAATAATACCAACTCAAAACAGATTCCGTAAGAAGAGCCCAGGTACTTATGGACGTAGTTTTGAAACCAATTTGCTAATTCGCTATGTCTCGAAGATCCAAACCCTAAACCCTACGTCCTTAACCCGCGACCCTGAACGCAATAACCCGAAAAGGTGATCCATAGACTCCTACGCTGCAATGCCTGCAGAAATAGGAAAAATCCGTTAAACATACAGTATCGAGCCCATACCCATCAACGATAGCATACTTCCCAGTCTGACAAGGTTCTGTTCAAATAGGATGTGCGAAGAACCTTGTTTCGTACGAAAGCTTCATAGGCGGTCAGCGACGGAACCGCGTCAAACGCTTTAAAGTTTAGCGGTGCAGGGTTTGCGGCCTGCGTACACCTTGAGCTCAAAACCATGAGCCTGGGACCACTTCAATCAAAGCTGCGAACTCCTGACACCGGAACCCTTTGACATCTTGCAGGTACGGTGTGGCTGCTGCTCAGCTGCAACTATTCAATGAACTATACTATATAGCCAGCTTGAGTCGGTTACTTGACACGTTTGCTCCCAGCACCACCAAGGGCTCAGACTTCGGTTTAGGGAATAAACCCCTGCCCCTTCGAGCATTAACAGGACTGTAGATGCCTGATGAAACCCTCGCCCGTCCTTCATCTTGGTTTCTGCTGATTACTGGTTTTCTGACGATAGCCGAGATCTAAGCCGTAAACCCCCTCAACCCTCGCCCTAAACCCCTCGCCTTTACAAGACAGATCCTCCGGGGTCGAAGGAAATAGATGACCCGGCCATCAATATCGTGCGCACCCCTCCGGCCCCGTCCGTGTCCATCTCCTATCAGTGCCCTGGCTTTCAGAGGTTCCACTACGGGCCGAGTTTTTGGGTCCAAGATTTGGGGTTAAGAGCTCGAGAGCCTAAAACCCCGAGCCCTCAAATGTCAAACCGAACATCAAGTTATTCAAAATTTTGGGCCCTTCTGAGCCTGCGCGTGCGGCCTCTCGAATCTTCAGTATTTGGGCCTTGAGAATGAGCGAGTGGCTCTTGGTTGGATTTTGTGTTTAGGGAGATTTAGGGCCAATTTAGGGAGTGTTTAATAACATAAACTTCAAGCGAGGGCTCGGATGCAAGATATGTGTGAGGTGTTGAAGGATGCAAGTTTGTGTAGGGCTATAGGGCTCAGGGTTGATCGAATGTGTATGGCCCCTAAACCCTAATCCCTAATCCCTAAACCGGTGCACAGAGACTGCTCAATGAGCAGCTTTGACTTTCGGAAGCCTTCAAGAGAATGCTACCTTCTTGTGATTGATCTTCAAGTCTGACTAGCCGTGGCAAGCATGGCCGAATAGGGTCGTGTTATGCTTGCAGCCCAGGGTGAAGTTCGGAACGAGGTTAAAGCTGCAGCGTGGTGTAGTAGGGCATTAACATTAGGTGGTGGGTTGTCGACTTAGCGCTTAAGGGTTCTGGGTGTATAGGGCTTTAGTGTTCAGGCGTCAGCGACGTATGGCTCTGAGGTTCGTCTTCTGGGCTTTTAGTTTTGTCCCGGGCTTAATGACGGCATCCCTCTACAGTCTAAAGCTTTACCCAAAGGTAATCCGAAGCACTATTCCAAGTATCCAGGCCCCTATTGGACGGTTCATAACTGTGACCTTCAACCTTCCCTGTCGTACGACCGGTGCTGTATCACAGCCATCCGCTACCTGCAGCCCAATAAAGACAGCCTAAGCTGTTGCTTGTTTTTCTCGTTTCTTGTTTCCTATTCAGACTTCCTTTTTGTCCTTACAAGTGGTAGAAACTGTTGCATGTGTGTGTGTGTGTGCGGATGTGTGTGTGTGTGTGTGTGTGCGTGTGCGTGTGCGTGTGTGTTACTATGTTGTGCGAAGGGGGAGGCAGGTTTCAGTTTTCCATGATTGCACCACAAGGGCCTGAGTAAGCAGAGCCGGGTTTCGGAGATTATGCTAGACTCAGTCATATTCAGAATCCCTTATAAAGCCTTAAAAGTAGAAATAATACCGTGTAGAACTAACCCTAAGCCCCGGTGAGACCCGTATCTCTAAGCCCGAGGATCTTCGATACCATCGATCTCGGCCGCACGCTTCCAAAGCTGCTGGCTGCGCAGGCCGCGCAGCATGGCAAGGCCTGGACCACATTTACTCTCAAGGTTCAGGATTTAGAGCTCGAAACCTTAATTATTAGCCATAATTTCAATGTTCGAGCGGTAAGCCATACTTTCAAGAGTCAGAGGTGAGAGCTGAGAACCCTACTGAAGCTGCTGGATGGCCAGGAAGCTCTGCGATTCGTAAACCGAACCACATGTTATCCTAGTCTAGTTTTGTTGGTCTTGCACGACACAGTACGAACAGTTACCCAAGCTCTTTGAGCGAGACAACCTTCATCTCGAATGAGATGGCCACTATAGTATGATGAGTACCCAGACCACCTTAAAATTATAGTAGGAGCCGAAATTATGAATTAAGGTAGTCTCCATACTTAAGGGATAATGGAAGTTCTAGGCATTCCGAAACTAGGAGACATTGTTCGAAGCTGAGAGGTGGTGGCGATCTTCATCAATGGCCGCTTTGCTCAATATGGTTTTACAAGCTCTCAGGCCCTGAGGTTTGATGCCGCCGGGAGTTGCGTGTTAGGTTTAGGGTTTAGAGTTTTTAGTTTAAGGTTAGGGCTACGGGGATTTGGGGTTGTTGGGATCAGGGGCTTTATGCGTTGCTGAAAAAGTTGCTTTGGGGTTGCGGCGAGCCCACAGAGAAGTTGTTCATGTTTGTTTTTGTTGAGCTGCTGTAGGCGGATCCCACAAGCCGTACTATTTTAAACAGATGATTACACAAACAGTTGCTAGAACCTGAAGGGGGTCTGGTGAGGGCGCTTGTTGCAGACACCACACCCAGGGCAGGGCAGTCCTGCAAATTAGGAGCCAGTTTGAAGTGCTTATAGCAAGAGTGACGCCTGGCCTTTTAATGCGCCCTCTAGGGTCCATGCACCCCTATACATAATCACTTGGGTCTTGCAAGGGGTTACTATGTATGTACTCCTTATAAATTGGAACTACGAGGTGGACAAGACAAAAGATACCTGGACCCTAGAAAAGACTATAGTCACTCGTATAGAAATGCACGTCCCCGTACAACTCTCAAACGAGAACCATCCAAGTACCTTGAAGGACGCCCTCTCCAGGAGATGTTGCGAAGCTCTACGCCGAGATGGCGCGCAAGGACGGCTCGTCCTACGAGGCTCCGGCTTCTAAAGCTTGGGTGTTATAGGGGGTTTACAGGCTGTAGGATTTAGGGTCTTGTGGCTATGGGTTTTCTAGGGCTCGGATTTATCTTCGGATGGTGTTGGGTTCGCGTAGATGAAAGGGGGTTTGGATATAAGCACTACGAGCACCCCGAAGACCTTGAACATTTTACAAAACTTCGCCAATCCAAAGCATTAAACCTTGAAGCCTTTGACCCTTCGGGGTCTCGGGTTCCACCACTATCGGTTCGCGGTGAAAAGCAGGAGGTTCAGGAATGCGGTGGTTCATGATTTAGCATCTGTGTGTTTTCTCTTCAGGTTGCGCTATGGTTGGAGGGTTTGGTATCCAGGTTGTGGGCAACCGTTCGGGGGTCTGTGATCGTTTTAGGCGGATTCAGTTTGGACTTGAAGGCTTACATTTTGCGCTGACGTCTCCTAGTAAACATGTTTTTTTAGGATTCATGGCTCTGGGTTTCTGAAACCGTGATATGCCGTACTTTCGGAGGCTAGGCTTGGAGTTTCTCGCAAGGCTGAAGCCCCAAGCCCTAAATTTGCTGGTATACGGTCGCAAGTTAGGGGGAGTCCTTGTAATGAGGGTCGATATTGAGGATTTTGATTCTCTTTTTTAATCCCTGCAACTATAAACTCATAAACGCTCTCGCCAAGGCATGGGTTCGCTCGATTCGTTGATTCTAGCAAGCTTCTGATAACATCTTTTCTATGTGGCACAGTGAGACCATTGTTTCATATCCTCGCAACCCGAAGTCTTGAGCACTGTTTTGATAGTACAGTACGGGTTCCGAGTATAGCTGTTATTATACAGGGACTATAATGCTATAATGTAGCCCCTCATTAACCATGGCTCCTCAGCCCCTCATACTCAAACACGTTATGTTGTCCCAACAAGTTTCCTCTAGACATTCGAAGTTGGCCGCATAGTTTACGCATCAGGGCTACACTCAACAATTCCAAACCAGGATTCTTGGAGGTTGATTATGGAAGGACATAGGGCTGTAGACAGGGTCCATGTTATTAGTCGTATTGATGCTAGCTCGCAGGAAACTGGGCTGGGGGCAAACCGAAGCCAGCAAAGCTTTGCCCAACATTGGACAAATATAGGGGGCTGAATAGTGAGAATAGGGTTTTGAAGCCATTATACTATTACTATAGTTAGAATACGGAACCCCCACAACAGTATTGGTATATATTTCGGCCCCCACATGATGCTGTGGCAGATGTATCCTGAAAGTCGAAAGCTGCCATCCTGCAGCAGAAATCTTAGCTCGTAAGCCTTGTGGCTCTAAAACCGTGAACACGTAAGAGTACTACGGTACAACAAAGGTGCTCATGTTAGTTCACTTCATTTTAGGGTCCTGTCTAGAAATCTATTAAATCGAGGTCTACGAGGCCCATTCTGCGAACAGCAAGAAGGCCGGATGAGTTCGGATGACAACCTCGATTTCACGCCCTCGCGCGTATGATGTATGTTATAGTTTATAGGTGCAGGGCTCCGGATTAATGTAAGGCTCGTGGCCTTGCAATTCATGGGTTGGGAGTTGGGGTTTAAGGTTTTAGAGTTGTGGGTTTCAGAACCTGGACGACAAGCCTCCGTGTGGGATTCCTCCAGATTCACAAGCCCCCATTTGTAGTAATCAGTTCTGCTGGCCCGGGATTCTATTTCCCATCCCCCAAGCCGTTTAGGGGTTCGGGAACCATGAAGCATGTTATGCAAGACTTCTAGCTCTGTCTTGAGGGGCAAGCAAGGGCGCGTTCCGAGAAGGTTTCTCGAATCTTGAACCCTGGCCCCTCTGAACCCTTAACCCCAAACTAAAATCAGCAAGCCCTAACCCCACAACCCTGAAATCTAACCCCAAAAGTGTAGACCTCATCTGTTATTCGGGTTCTTTGGTGAGGCTCTGTTACTTGGAGGTTCATGGGTAGTTATAAGTAGGGTAACTATCATTATAAGCTACATTCGGGGACTTATATCTCCATTTAGAACTACCCATGAACCTCCAAGTAGTGTTAGCATAAGAACCTTGGTAACTTGGCCAGGGCCATGAGGAGGTTTCAATGCATCACAACTCTTCCATGGGGCTTTAGGGAGAAGCTCTGATCTCAGAATTCGTTTAGCCCAACTCGATGAGGCCCAACACTCGAAACCCTAAGGCCCAAACCCAACACTCCGCAACCACAATCCTCTGACGTTTCGCGTCGCTTTACCGACATAGTCCAAACTTTAGGCTACGCGCCCTTGGGCCGAAACCTTCAACACGAACCCCATTTCCCCGGGTTGATGGGGCTTCTCAACTCAAGTTCTTTGGGACTTCAGGTCAGGAAGAAGGTGGTGCAAAGTTTCGCCGCCGCTGCAAGCGGGGTCCTCTTCACGGCAGGCCGGTGACATCTTGTGGCCCTAAACCCTAAACCTTATAGGGATTTAGGGTTCTCAGGGTTTTACTCCAACATCGCCAGTTAGGTTCGGTTAGTTATGATAGTCATCTCTTCACGAGGTTACAAGGTGTTGCAAGGACTTGGCGCTTCCATGTGCAAACGTGTTGTTTTTTGGGTTGGCCGTCTCGCAATCATACGTGTTTTCGGGAGGCTTTCCAGATGACCCTTAATCCGATACCTTAAACCCTAAGGACCCTAGAAAGCCTAAACTTAAACACAAAAGCCAAAACGCTCTGCCCACCCAAATCATGGTATGAGGTCTCCTTGAAGCATGCCCGTTATGGTTTAGCGTATATTCCCTAGTCAAGGGTATCCCTGTTGATTGAAGGTATGTTCCTTGATAGAAGGTTACCCCTATTGTCGTTTATGGAGTATATCATATGTATATCACATATATATATATATATATTCATGTTATGCTGGCAGCACAAGTCTTGCACAAGTGTCCACATGAACCCTCGGCCGCAACTATCCTGCATAAAAATGCCAAGCTTGTCAGGGCTCTCTGCTGCCACCCTTCCATCAGAAGGACATCTTGGGCATCTGACAGTTCAGGGTTTAGGCTGCGGTTTAGGGTTTAGGTATTGTTTTTGGCTGCAGAATCCGCACATAGAAACATCAACTGTTCGTAGGCTTATGAAGACTTGCAAGTGTATCTGTCTTGCTAGATGTACATATATATATATATATTGTTTATATATATATATACACATATACATACACGTGTGTACATACTTATGTTTCTTTATCTATACAGATGCACAAGCATATGCCTACGAAGGAATACATATACATACACGTACGTGTTCGTACTCAGGGCATATCCTGCGAGCTCTGAGCCTCGAAGCTATGCTGGTTTGGTCCAACTTCACATTGGGGCTTATAGAGTTTAGGGTACCCAGCCCCAAAGTCTTGTGAAGAACAGCGTTACCATGTCCCCCCAAAGGTTTTGCACTCAATGCTAGAGCTGTGCACTGGAGGAGTTTCAGCGATCATCATGATTGGTTTGCCTGCTTCTGCCAAAGACTATGGTCAGATTGTGGACTATATTTCGCGGTCTGCAACTCGGAAGCAAGATTCATGGCAGCTGTTGTGGCAGCTGCCGGAGCAGAAAGTTTTCTCGACGCATGCTGACGAGCCCTTTGCCCGACGTGCAAGTTGCGGAAAATAAGTGTAGATTGTTACAAGTGTCTCTGGGCAACTATATATATATATATATACTGCTCTGCCTACATTCCAGGGTACCAGAATTTGGCAGCAGGGGCCCAGGATTGTGGGTCCCTGCTGTTCTTGTATCTATCGCAGTGTCTCAACCTTGCATCTTCAATCCGGAACGCTTAGCCGTCGAGGCTCAGGGCTCCACCACAACAGCGTTGCTGCTGCTGTCGGCTTTTGAAGAGAAGGCCCTAGGCAGCTCGGCACGCAGAAAATTATTTTCGGATTGAAGGTTTCAGGTGTTTAGTATATCGTTTGTTAATACCACTGTCTGGTTTTGATTGCACCTAGATCAAGTTATTACAGTTGTGTTAAGTTGTGCAAGTTGTTCGCACAGATGATCGAACATTCGTATAGCCTGTGATGTCTTTTGTTATGGGCGAATGGATTTGAAATCAGCCCAACACACCCCACAATCCTAAGCCCCGTAACTCTCAATCCCAGGCTTGTCCATTCATCCTCAGGTGCTTTGGCCTCCGGCGCATTGGTTGCCTCAGCCTCCCCTGCAGAGGTCCCAAAGGCGAGTCGAAGCCCCGTGTTGCACAAGTGGTTGTCTGAATTTTGCGGCTTCGGTTACCCTACTTCGGGTGTTGGGGCTTTGGGGTTTACGGTTAGGGTATATCGAGGCTCTAAGGTTGCAGCATGTAGTCGAAGTCGTAGCTGCAGCAAAAAAGTCGTAGTAGTCATCGTTGTCGCCGTAGTAGGAGTAGTAGTAGCAGTAGCAGCGGCGGTAGAATTAGCAGTAGGATGAGGAGCACGAGCAGGAGCAGGAGTAGTAGCAGTAGTTAGCAGTGTTAGCAGTAGTAGTAGTAGTAGTAGTAGTAGTAGTAGTAGTAGTAGATGTTGATAGTAGATAGCAGGTGATAGTAGCCGCCGTAGCTGCGCCAACAGCAGTAGCATGAATGCAATCGTCAATTTGCAAGCGCGGGAAGCATGCCAGGAAGACCCTGGCATTCTGGAGGAGCTCAATGACAAGCTACAGGCGAAGGCATACTTCTCTTGGCTGAGGCACAAGGGTCGGTAGAGTTGAGGCTCAAGTTGAGGTTGGTGGCTTGGTGGGGTCGTGTGCGCGTGCGTGCCCTGATGTGCGTATATGTGTTTCCCTTTTGGTCGGAGGAAATCTTCGTACTCGTGTATGGCTTGTCTCAACGCAGTCATCTCTAAAACGCATACAGTGTCCAGGTGACTTAGCCGCTAGCCCGTGCTCATTGATCTGCAGTTCGTTTGCACTGCACTACGGTGTTCGCGCTGTGTTCATGCAACACTTTCAGGATTCCGATCAATACGGACATCGCCTACCTAGTTAAACTGTAGCAGTCTGTTGCGATAGGGGCCTATCTCGCAACTCCTGCAGGCCTCCAATGCATAATATAGGGGCCGATAATTATAGCTACCAAGCCTGTTTTGCGGCTTCATTGTTATAATTATAGTATAGGATTATTCTAGTTATTAAGGCCCCAACATTAGACCGAAAGCCTCAGTGACCAGAGTTTTCCGCGTTGCTCCGAGCGTGCACTTCCTCTTCTTCTTCATTTTCTACGTCTTTGCTACAACGACTCACAAAAACGACGGCGACGCGGCGACGACCCGCACCACCACTACTTACCAGGAAGACCGCCACTGCAACCCTGCACATGGCAAGGCCCTGGAAGTTCCTTCTTCTCGATCCCTGCTCGGCACTTTCGGCCGTGGGCACGTTCACATGAAGTGCTTGAAACTTCGCCCAAACATGGCTTCGTACTGTTGCGCCGACCCCATATCCAGGCACTACGCGCTGAACCCGCTGCTACAAGATAAGCTCATGGCGGTGCAGGCACCTCGCACCCAGAGACACGAGGGTTCCTTATACCGAACCATACTAGTCATAATTCCAGGAATATGTTGCATATGCCTTGGTTCAACGGTTGAAACTTCCTTCACTAGGCATTGGCGTTGGATTTGTGGGTGCAGGGATGATTTTTACGACACACAGATTATTCTTTGATGATGGGGCGTTAGCTCTTCTGAACTACTGTGACCGGGTTTAACCTTTGCATTTGCAGCGTGAGTTCTGCCAGTTCCGTAATACGAAGATCATCTCGGGAAATTTATGATTGAACATGCAATCGACCTCTTTTGCGAGCAATGTAAGCTCAACCATGAAAGCCCGACTATGAGATTCGTCCGTATCCTGGAAACAGTAACATCAGGCTTTAGTTCAGAGAGAATCCACGCTAGAATAGGGCCTGGGTGATACGCCAGTATACCGACTACAGGGGACATAAATTAACATGACATCACCCGCATTTCCAGAGACATAAATCCTCGAGTTTCAAGACTGCTGGTAACCTTAGCATCCATCATCATCATCATCTTCATCATCTTCACCTTGTCGCCATCAGCATTGTCACCAGGACTAGGCACATCATTGCTATCCCTAAATCTGCAGGTTCTCATTCTAGCCATAGCCCCGAGAACCAAACACACCTTCATTGAGGATTCGTCCCCAACTTGCAGCAAGAAGCCTCCACACGCCCAGAGTCTTTGTTCTAGTTCCTTATCCCGATCATCCCCAAGCCCCAAGCCCATGAAACCCGATAAAACCTACACCAAGTTTCTCTGGTGACTGCAAACCCTATAACCCCAGGAGGCCTCTCGCTTCGCCGAAGCCATCGGCGCCCTCAGCGAAGGACGACCTCCAGCCCTTGCGCCGCGCATGCTGGCAGACATGGGTGCCTCGGCTTTGGCGGTGTGGGGTTTGGGGGTTTGAGGTTTGAGGTTTTGGGGTTCAGGGCTGTTGGGATGAGCTCTTCGGCTCGTAGTCTGGTTCTGGGACGAGACGGGTACGGCCCGCAGGGCTCATGGCACCCAAGACATGGCCGCGCTTGTGTTGGTTCGGTGCCTCAGATACTGTCATAGAATGAGTGCATCCAGGCCCTAAGCCTTCGGCCCTAAAGCAAGAAAAAGAAAAGAATCATTAAAACAACTATAAAAAGAGCTAATTAGCTACTACTATCAATATTGAAAGGTGATAACAGTAATACAAATTATGACAGCAATAGAATTAATTGTTAGCAGAAATCTGATTACTACTAGTAGTTAATAACAATAAAGCAAAATAAGCGACAGAAAGTAGGATGCCAATCGAGGGGAGCCTCGGGTTGCAAGAAGCTCTCCGGTTCGAGGCGAAGCAATCGGCAACGGAGTTTCGAAAGCTTCTCACTACGAGGTGGTTTAGGGTTTAGGGTTTAGGCTTTAGTAGGGGTTTAGGGGTTTAGGGTTTAGGGGTTTAGGGTTAGGGCCCAGAGACTCCAAAACCGCTAACCAATAGGGCTAAGGGGATCCTTACTATGATTTAACCCTAAGGGTCCAAAGGTACTTGGTTTAGGGATCGTAGTTCTGTATTTGGGAGAGCGTATGATTATTGGGGACTTGAACCCCTAGGGTAAGGTAAGGACAACTGTTTGTCCACAGACTGTGGCCTATGGTTGCAGGAACCACCCGCACCTAGACTCTGCGTTCCTAAAGTTCTCACTCCAGCTTGAACCCGATGCCTTGGATTTCGGCTCGAAGCTGTAATTAAACTCGACGCGCAGAATGATGCTTGAAGAATCTTTATTTAGGGTCTGGGCAAGTTAGGGCCTCTCACACCGCCCAACTCTACGGCCGCTGAGGTATCGAGGGAATCGCGGATGATGCGCTCAACGTCGCTGAAACTTGAGTGCGCTTGTAGGAGGGGACTCAGCGTCTCGAGTTTAGGGAAAGCAAAGCCCGCAAGAACAAAACATCTGACAGGACTCTTTGCAAAAGCCCCTGAATAGGGAGTACTGTACAAGGGTATGCGCTTAGGGTCTCATCGAGGAGGGTCCACATATTCAAGGCCGCCTACAACAATGATGAGACCGTCCTGAACATAGGCTTCGGATGCGAAAGACTTGTGTTATTCGTGGCTTGGGCTGTGAGGCTAAAGTTCGATGTCGGCGAGTAAGACTTACAAGGTTGCTTCAGCCGCCGACTGCTTGTGATAATTCACCTGGATCATCCCGTCAAACTTTGTGCAGTTGTGAAAATGCGCATCAACATCAACAGTCTGTTGGACTATCCCTTCCTCCTTCCTATACCTCTACGTGCTGACAAGCAGAGATCCCGAAACTCGGGCGCCCGCCTTCGATTTCTTCGAGACCGCTTGCGCAGCCGATGTTGAAAGTTGCTGCAGGAGATGACTAGGTTTAGTGAGTTGGAGTGAAGCTTCAACTAGGGTATCAACAACCTACGACGAGCTTTACAAGCAGGGAAGCTACATGGATGAACATAATATGGACACAACAATGCTCTTAGTAACAACCCCATGAGGGAGGTCTTCGGCCATCCAAAAATGACCCCTCTCTCTCTCTATATATATATATATATATTTATGTCGAGTAAATAGATAGACAGACAGATAGATAGATAGATATATGCACACATGCACAAGCCACTACTGCCGCGGGTTCCTTTGCATGCCGGCTAAGACTGCAAGCATCCCGCCCAAATGTCGTAAGTAGCCGATGCTGCAAGCATGCAGGCCGCAGTTTATGGCTTAGTGTTTATGTTTTATAGGAGTTTGGAGTTTGTTGTGCTGAGTCTCATAATTGAGTCATGCAGGGTTCCACACGACTCAGCTCCCAGCGACGTTTCCTGCAACTCACTTGCTCCCAGCATGTTGCTATAGTGATAAGCCCGCATACCCTAACCCTAACCCCCCAGGTACCTACCATATAGGGTACTAGAGCCCCTAGAGCCCTATATAGTAGGTACCTGGGGGGTTAGGGCCCATATGCAAAGCCCAGCCCGAGCCCTGGCCTAAGGCGCGGCCTTACTTTGGTGTGCACCATCTTCGAGCCCGAAAATCCGCCCGGGGGCCGATCTTGTCCCCACTGTTTAGGGTTTAGGGTTTAGGGTCCCCACTGGGGGTTGCTGTAGGGTTTAGGGAAACCTGCTTCTTTTCCCTAAGGGTCCATGTGCCCAAACAGTAGAACATTGGCCCTAGAGTACCTATATAGGGACTACATTAAGGCCAAAGTATATACTATTTGGGTACATGGACTCTTAGGTAAGCCTTAGGGTTTGAGAGTATGAGGAAGATTAGAGGGTGTTGGCGATTATGGCTGTGAGGGCACAGGGAGGGGTGTTTCGGGGCTTCAGTTCAGGGATGAATTGAGGCAGCTGAGTGAGGGATTGTTTAGTCAAGGGATCTGGTAGGGGGTTGTTTACGGTATTTGGGGGCAGCGGATATTTGGGGTTCGTGGGGCAATCTGGGGTTTTGGGTTCTGGATTTTGGGGATCGGGACGTCAGGTGTGCGGACTCTTACTGTCTTGCTGTGGGCATGTGGTGACAACCCCGCTAGACATTTTCCTGTGCTGAACGTCATTCATCGATTTGACCGGGTCCCTACCCCTAGGTAGAACTTGCCATCGGAGACTTCCTTTGCCTCAGTTGCCATCGCCCTCAAGCCCAAGTGCAGACCCTGAGTGGCCCAGCTCCGCCTCCCCTTGGGAACCAAGTGTTGTCAGAGCTATGCAGCAGAGATCCCCGTAGCTTCCAGCCTTTTGGACCTATCGAAACCCTCAAACTTCGAACCTGATAAGAAAAATCCAAGAAGCGATCGAAAGCTTCGCCAGTAATAGGAGATGGTCGTGTGGGCATTTTCGGGGTACATCTAGGAAAAGGAGAGCATCGGGTTCCAACTTACCACCCCAAACCCTAGATCCTAAGCCTCTGCAAAGTCCCTAAGCCTCTGAACCCCAAAGTCCCTAAGCCCTAGAATGTATAAGCCCTTCCTGCAAAGACTGGCGTCGCAGATGACACCCTCTATGTCTCTATGTGCTATGCGTTATGCCGTGCACAGGGCCCACACCGCCAAAACCGACGAGAAAGCCGTGGCCGGTCTCGCCCAGTTTATAGCATCCCTCAGGGAGGGTAGTTCAAAGGCGGGGAGGGTGCTAGGGAGCCCCAAAGCACCGAAGGGAGCAATTGAATTACCAGGGAGAGTTGGGGAATACAGTAGGTTGCATACTCCACCGAGTTGGGATACGGGCATAAGGCTCAAGTTCGGGCTTTGGGGCTTGAGGGTCTGGGCATGAAATGCAGTAGACGTGCAGTTGTCAGGGTTTACGTTTGAGGTTTTATGTCGGCAAGGTGCTTAACTTCTTCCGAAACTGACGATGAAGCCCACCGCGATCCTGCAACTGTCTCATCCAGCCCCCCCCCCCCCCCCCCCACCCCAGAACGAAAAATCCCCGTCGCGGCGCCCTTGCAGTCAGGCTGAAACCTAGCAAGGCCTTGGGCCAGCAACCCGAGATGGGCCGAGTGTCCAAAGCAAAATTCGTACATTTAAGGCCTCCAATTCTCCAAGTAATCCAATAAGCAGCCCCTTAGCCCCACATCAAGAACATTGGTTTTAATGATTCTTGTAGGTTTGATCTCTGAGAAATGAATCCCTAAGCCACCCTACCTATAGAGAGCATAGTTTTCCGCGCTCCTTATTCAAAATCCAATTCCTGATCCGTAAAAGGTAGGTTCTGCAAGGTCCGGGTACAAACCCTATAAGCCCTGTACCATGAGGTCGTCTGTTGCCATGGAAACGCTTGCTCTCGCTTGGACGCCTTTCTTCAGGCCGGGTGCGCCCAAGAGTTTCAGAGTCAACACAATGTATATATATATATATAGTATTCCTTCGGGTTCCTGATCGAACTTATATTATACTATTGCCCCGAGTCTAAGGACTAAGGCCCCTAGAAAGTCGTGCTTCAGGGGGAAGGGACAGTGAGATATAATCCGTTTTAGTGTCCGCCTTTTAGTGTCCGCCTCCACTCTCCCGTAAGCGCGAGTAGGTCAGAGGACTTGATACGCAGGGGGCTTTGAAAAGGTGATAACTTTTGAGCAGGAGACCTTCGTATACTATTCTAAATCAGATTTTTGGGACGAGAAATACCTATGCAGGAATATCTGTGGTTGTATATTTGTGTATTTTTTCTTTTTTTGGGTTCAGGGGTTTGTGCGAATTTTGGGATGCTGCACAGATGAAGATCTTCGAGGTGTGGTTTTGGGGAGTTGAGGAGACTACAGGGTTTAGGGTTTAGGGTTTAGGGTTTAGGGTTTAGGGTTTAGGGTCCTCCGAGAAGCTCTTAACCCTTCGACTCGGACATGCTGTCGCAACCCTCTGAAGGGCTTAGGGAGGTCTGCGTGATCCGGTTGATGATATAAGACCTGCATTGCCCATAATAAGGGATATACCATAATTCCCATAGTTTTAGGGTCTTAACGGTAATGCAGGATTTATATCATCAACAGTATTTGTTATTCTTGGTGGTAAGGATGAACATCCTCGGGCTTTTGCGGCTTCGCGGGTGACTAGAGCACCCGCAAGTATCGGCCATTGTGCCCGACTTCTGAGACCCTAAACCCTAAACCCTAAACCCTAAGTCCTAAGTTAAGCGCCTCAGACCGACACCCTAACAGCTAGACCTGTAAATGCTAACATACATGTCAATCACAAACCCAAGCTGCCTGGGCTCCGCCGTTGTCCCAAGTAGACCCGAAACTGAAGCCTGCTACAGCCCCACCAACCTCAAACCCGAGCCTAAATCCTCATAGACTTCAACACGCTGCAAGTTTCGGAACTTGAAACTCCCATAAATGTCATGAAGTTCTTCATGTTTTGGAACTGGAAACATCCATCGATGACAGTTGACAATAGAGCCTTGTACTTGGAAGGCCAGTTTTGGAAGATGAACTCCCCCTGTAGATGACTTATGTCATAATGTTATGTCCTAACACCCCCAATTCCCACGTACTTGGTAAGGTCTACTGCTTCCTGCCATTGAACATTGCAGTCTGCTGCTTCGACTTTTCTGGCTCAGGCAGAGCTGGGGGGCTTTAGAAGGTTGGGGATTTGGGTTTTGGGTTCAGGGTTCATGGTTTTGGGTTTGGGGGTTCATCATAGTACCATAGAAACCGGTAAGAACCCACAGGAGCAATGGATGAAACCCACAATGACAGGGCTGATGGGCTTTAGGGATTCTGCGCAATCAGGAGGTTGCCTTGAAGGGGTCATGATGGCTCATGTATTCTTTAGGTTCCTGGGTTCATGCTGCACTTTTGACCCTGGCGCGGCTACACCATGAAAGCCGTAAACTCCCTAAACTCATAAGGTTCTGAGGCATGCAGAGAGTGTAAATCCCAGCTCAGTAGGATTTCAGACATCGCTCGGGGCTGCTTGTTTTTCCTTTGTTCCTATGTTCATGCCTGATTCCATTATCATGTTGTTTATCATTTCCGGCTTCGCTTTTGTTTACCATTCTTTTCTTCTTCGCCGCGCCCCTGATGCAGTCATCATATTTTATCGTTTTGGGGACGGTTCGGGCCCTGTTCCGCCAAACGATGAAAGCGATAACATAATCATGAAAAGTGACCATAAACTGGTCCTGACAACTATATGGGAAATGTCAATAACATGATAAATCCTGAGGCTCTCCTCGCTTTTCGACAATTCCAGGATTCCCGTGCGCCCTTTCTCCGGCCCTGTTCCGCCAGACGATGAGACAGGATAAACAAAAGCAAATGATAATACAATGATAAGGAAAAGGATACTGGAAATGATAATTTCCTGGGGCGCTCCTCATTTTTCGAAGATTCCAGGATTCCCGTGTGCCCTTTGCCTAGCCATTTCCGCCAAGCGATGAGAGATGTTAACAAGATGAGAATAGAATGATAACGAACACAGTAGTGACAATTACAATTTCCTGAGGCTCCCCTCATGTTTTTTAGAATTCCAGGATTCCCATGCGTCCTTTCCCCGGCCCTTTTCCGCCAAAAGATGAAAGATAGGCTTGAACAAGCGATGAACAACGATAATGAACCGATAATGAAATCAGTACTGAACGCGATGATGAAAGCGATACAGTAGTGAAATTTGTGATGAACTTGTAATCGTAGATGATGATAAAGGCCCTGACCCACACGATGAATCATGACAGAAAAATTTTTCATGGGGACCACAGTCACTCCATGAAAGAACCTCATAACCTAAACTAAACTTCGAAACTCTGAAACCTCAAACAGCAAGCCCCAAGCCATGAGTCCCTCAGCGCAGGTATGAGTGGTGGCGAGTATGTGTCTTTGGGCTACTTCGAACGTGATGACCTCGCAGCCGTCGCTCACAGTGCAAGAAGGATCGATGATGTCAAAATCCTAAACCCTACACCAGGTTTAGGGTTTAGGGTTTAGGGTTTAGGGTTTAGGGTTTACCGTTGAGGTTTTGGAGCTTCGGGTTGCAACAGTCCACCGGGCTTGGTGGCATAAGTTAGGCCGCAGGACCGAGCATTTAAACGATTGCCACAGGTGGCTTGGGCAGTTGAGGTGTTGATTAATTTTGGGGCCTAATAATTGCCAATGCTTTTTGACGGGGGTCTGTATACACATACAATATACATATATATATATATATATATTTGTTTATTTATTTATTTATTTTTATTTATATTTTTCGTTTTCGTTTATTTATTTCTTGCTTTATACACTATAAATGAGCCCAAGACCCTATTCAAATTATTAAGGCCCCCATGTTACCCCAAGGTCTTCAGGCCGGCAGTTCTGTGAGATCCATGAAGTTTGCAGTTAGAGGCTTCTCAGTGCAGGGTGCCCAGACCCTCCCAAGTTCCTCACTTGAGGAAATCTTCATAAATCATCTTACGGATCCTACTACAATTTTAAGGTATATTCAGTAACTCAGGGATGTTGTGAGGTCTAGATGGATTGTCCTGAATCAACGACTTAAGTGCAGCTATAGGGCTCCGAAGGACAGGGCTGCACCTGAGGCTGAATTCTCAATCTTCGACTGTAGCGTTGAAGCATCTGGAGCCCTCAATTCTGCATCTAAGGGTTTAAGGTTTAGGGATTGTGTTCTGTTGTATATAGTGGCCACACTGTCCTTTTGAAGTTTTCCGGATGAAGCCGAGTGACCAAAGTTGTAATTAGTATTAGAAGCTCCCAACACAGCCCCTTCGCCTTATCACCTTGGGCAGAGATGTCGTTGAGTCCTTGCATTGGGTTTTGGAGGGTGCCAGGGGGGCATTTGTTCATGTGGGTCGGTCATTACGCGGGCCGGTGTCCCAACTGGTTCTGCAAAGCCTGCTTTACCTTTGAAAGACTTGAAAGAGTTGTTTCGGAACCTGTCTCCCCTTCGTTGCGTTACACCGTCACATCCAAACCATGGATGACATCGTAAACTTAGGTGATCCAGAATCTACGAGAAAAGCGCGGCTACACTCGAGTGCGGCCCTAAAGCCAAATCTGAAGTTGCAGCTTGGGCCTCTGAAGCGAGGTCTGTACTGTTTCCGAAGGTATCTGGTAGGTCCAGCGAAAGTCACATGAAGCTGAGCTGTCGCACGCTTGGCCTGTAGGTCGGTGGGATTTATGATTTAGGATCTCACGGGTTGTACAATCCGTTCATGCGGATGTGGATTGTGTCTGGATGCTGTAGCGGCTTGTAACCGGGGTTTAGGGTTTAGGGTTTAGGGTTTAGCGTAACCTGCCTACGAACAGTTGCCGGGATTGGCACTGTCGTTTCGCAGTGGGTAGGCCGAACATCCAACCTTGACGCAGCACTCCGAGCTTCTTTCCCGTTTCCATCTCCCTCCACAAACGGCACCATGGTGCCTTTGACCCAACCATTGCGAAACCCTGAACCTCAAACCCTAAATTCGTATGCAGCTGTTTGGACAGGATGCAGCCATTGATGGGATGCACCAGTTACGTCACATCAAGCACAACATTTGCACTGTAACTTGACCAGTTCGCTCACGCGGCTTCAGTAAAGTCAGCACGTCATCTTACGTCTGGATACAAACTTCAGGCCGTGATGGACACTACATCAGCTTCTCTGGACTCCAGCTCTGTGCGCCCACCAGGTCTTGAATGAAGACGACATCCTTGTACATCAGGTGGACACATCACATTGGACGGCGTCGTCTTCCATCTCTGCACGGGCTTTAAAAGGCGACGTGCATACATCGAGCACAAGCAAGCGGCTGTTGCCAACCGGGGCCTTCCGCACGGAGAAACTTCTTGAAAAAGCCGATGTCGACATTCCGCGCGTGCGACCCGTAGCATGTGATGTCAGTTTCACATTCAGGTTTGTGCGGAAGGCCAATGGACAAGACTTTCAGTACTGGCATCATGGAAGGCTTGCAAATGCTGCCGCCCAAGCAGGTGTTCTAGATGCTGGTGCCTCCGCGACAAGCAAACTGTTCCTCCCTGCATCGAGATCCTCCGTTAAAGCTCAGAGTTCCTGCAACGCACACATCGACCAAACGACATAGACACGTTATCAGTTTACGAGGTTTAGCAAAATCCTAGTCTCGTCGGCTGCAATCGTTTTCCCATTCTGGCGCTGGCCTCTAGACCACCAATGTCCCTGTGCTCCAGAGGCTTGCGGCGAAAGCGATTGCAAGCCTGTGGGGAGGGTCCCACCTGTGGCCACAATGTCATGCTCTGCTACGGCCTCGAGCCTTCTATACGTCAATGCGACACTCAAGTCAGATTTGCACTGCTGTACCCTCCTGTGCGGCTGTGCCCAGGCAGCCGGATATTCAGCCCTGTGGGAAGAAGTCGGAATCGCTGCGTGCGTAGTTCAGTTCGATTTTGAAGCATCTGGCGCCCACGGATTCGACGAACGATGAGGGGGGCAAGAGAAGAAGGCTGCAGGCTTTGTCATCGAAGTCTTGTCTCGGTGTCTGAAAAATGAATAAACGTTTTTACAAACACATTTCGGAGCAGAAGGATAAATCAGACAACGACCAGCCGCATGAAGAGACGGTCCAGGACGATGAGCTGGGACTTTTTTGTCTCAACAAGTTTAAGGACATGTGCTATTTTCACAACGCCTCCATGACATCCCCTGAGCCGGACTTGATGCCGCTGCCGAAACAATGGCTCAACTAACCCTGTGGCTTTGCTTCAAATGCTGCGCAGATAATTGGGACAGTTCTCGATTGCTTACAAACTCTCTTCTCCCGTCCGCCGGAGCATACACTTGTTGAACATCCGACGCTGCGCAGCCGCTTTTGTTGTAACATTTAAACCAACTAAGTAACTAAGGGCAGGCGTGGACAAGTTACTCTCACACTCTAGAAACTGATAGGAACTTTTGAAGCACGGCAGCGCACGGAAGCATAGAAGCCGAGACAGTGATGACAAGACACAGAACAACAAAGCTAAATGTAAGGTCGAACATCATAAGCCGATAGTGTGCAAAAGTGGAAAAACGGATACATAGGACAACGGCTAGCTTCATCAACGACAGGTAATTATCACTCCATTTGATGCGGCGACGAGGAGAGGCCGCACATATCCGCTGCTATCACACTATTAGCATATACACGAAGAATCATGGTAAGTAGGGTTACAAGTACCTGGGTTGTGGTTATATAACACATAGGTAAATGTGTCTTATAGTTACCTTACTTTCGGCTCTATTTACTAGGTCTCCTGATCTTGTAGCTATTCCTGTACAGAAAGTGTCGAATAAAAGTACAGCAGTCTAATGATTTTGCCCCCTTTGTGAGGCCGCTCGCAGGTTTCAGGGCCGTTTCGCCGGGCATCAAGGACCTATGAGTTCCCGGAACCGTAGCAAGACCAGGCGGAGTCAAATAAAAGAGTTCCGCATAAACAAAGAAGATGAAGCTTACAGAAAAAAACAGACAAATGATAATCACGGCTTCAATCACAATAGGATCCTATAATGATGATGAGCGTATGAGTTACACAGTTTACTGACTTGTTCCGGCGGAAGTCCAACGTGTGGCGAAGTTTCCGAGGTCGGAGTTTGGGGTCGATCGATGGGGGCATCCACCGCCGCCGGCACCTCGGGAGGGCCATACCAGTGAGGCTTTGGGAGGTACGGTTTAGGGGATTTACGGAATGGGTGTTAGAGGGGGTTGGATTCTGGATTTGGGGTTTGGGCTGTTGAATGAGTTTGAGGCAAGAGTTTAGGGTTTAGTTTGGAGGCAGGCTTTAGGTAAGCACGACGGTAGACTTTTCACGGCGACCCGCATGTTCCTCGGACCCCTAAAACCCCAAACCCTAAACCTTCTAAGCCCAAGCCCGAGACACTTCTTTGAGGCCATTTTGGAGGCATGTAGACCTCGAACTGAAGCCCCAAACGCCCCCCCGACAAGGGAACTAAAGATTCCTGTGTTTACGACTATAACGAAGGATAAACGATGGTGATGGAAGGGAAACCCGAAGTACCAGTCCGATCCTCCATACACTAAACAACAGACCATAAAGTGCTTAAACCCCAAGCCCAATGGATGCATGCATAAGCTTTAAACTTCAAGCCCCAAACCCTAAACTCTAAACCCCAAGCCCCAAACTTCAAACTTCAAGCCCCACACCCCAAGCCCTAAACCCTAAACCCTAAACCCTAAACCCTAAACCCCAAGCCCTAAACCCCACGTCACCCACAGGTTCTGCATGGCTCTCGGGATCCCTCGCTTGCTGGCATCGCCGGGCCGCCAGACTTGGGGCTTCCAGGGTGGGGCTTCCGGGTTCGGGTTTGGGGTTTAGGGGTTTAGGGTTTAGGGGTTTAGGGTTTAGGGGTTTAGGGTTTTAGGGGTTTAGGTCTCTAAGGGTTTAGGGTTTAGGTTTAGGGGTTTAGGGTTTAGGGTTTAAGGTCTCCAAGGGTTTAGGGTTTAGGGGTTTATGGTTTAGGGTTTAAGGTCTTGGCTCTTTCGGGGCTTCAGCTGAAGATTCCGTGTTGCAGCTCTAGGTTGAGGGTGAGGGTTCAGGGCTACAGTTTCGGGTTCCGGTTTTGTGGTGGGAGCTTTAGACCAGTGTCTAGGGGCTTATATGCGTTTTCGCAAGTTTTCCAAACTTTCCTTGATTCACTGCTGATGATCGTATCAACGGGTTGTTGAAGGAAGTTGCGTATGGTGGATTCGGCCATTGCAGGGGCAAGCTTGTTCCCTAGACATGTACGCGAAAAGGAGTACGCTCCTGGCACAACGACCCCTTCCAAGAAATCTCTTCAAAACTAACAAACATAACGCTATCATAACTAACACTGTGTGTAAACCTACAGCACCACAGCTGCCGAGTCCCCCACAGCGAGGTCCGGGCGACAAGATCGAGAAATCTCTCGACAATCCTAGTGAAGAACCTGCAAAAAACATCCTAAATCGCACGCCGAAAACAAGAAGCTACCAGCCCCCCGGGCCCCAGAGCATCAAACCCTGCACCCGAAGGCTTAAGCCCAAAACGCAGAATCCTCAAGACATACCAAATTTCAACATGTAGACCCAAACAGCACTACACTTCGTTGCTTGACCGACTGAACCGACACCCGTACATTCGAGACTCTAAACCCCAATTTAACCTAAACCCAAAGCTCTAGATCCAAAAAACACCCCAAACCTAAGACTCTTTTCATCCCTTATAGTCGTCAAAGCCGTAAGAAAGAGCAACAGGTGGCCGACAGCCCCTTCAGCGATCTTTGGAATCTCATGCAGGAGGCAGTATTTTTATCGTGGTGCTTGCGGTTTAGGGGTTTTGATTCGGATTTGCGTGTTTTTGTTAAGTTTTGGGGGGTGCGCGTGTACCTCAGGTTGTACAATGGTTCTAACTAAACCGGGGGCCTTCAATGAATTCAAGGTCTACGGGTCTCAAGGTTGGCGGGTTGCGGGTTGTCGGGATGGCAGCATCGAGCATAGCTACTTGTTTCTGCTACTTCCACGTGCCGGGGCAATGACAACATCCCTTTCAAGCTACATGCTGCGGGCATGGTTGATTTGTGGCTATTTGCAGCCTGTGCCGCAGCGCTCGTGTGCTTGATCGTAACGGTCAGCGGTCTCCGCCACGGACAGCGTGCTGCTGGAAGTTCAGGATGACGGCGATGCAATGAATTCTCGCATGGAGGCTTTCCACCTAGACGACGCGTGCCCGCGAAAGCCATGCCGCGAGGATGGCAATGCACGCAAAGCGTGCAAGCAAGAAGATCATGAAGACGCTGTGGACGAAGTGGCATTATGAAAACGTGTACGAAGAACTGAACGAACAGTTGAGGCTTGAGGATCATGAGGAGCACTTGCCCGGCGATGCCCCCTAAGTGATGGCTCTGTCCGTACAGAACACACGGGTGTCGGAATGTTGGGGTTCAGACTTTGGGGTGTCTCTGACCTATGGCGCAGTCCAGAGAGCTTGAAAGAGACCCTTAACCGTAACCCCAAGAAGTCCTAAACCCCTTATAAGCCCCAAACCCTCAACTTTAAATCC